CTTTATGTAATTTAGTCGTCATCGTAAGTTCTAAGATAAATCTTACGCTAATGAGTTCCGCTGAATTTATTTTTAGGTTAGGTCCTTATTTACAGTGCGTATTTTATATTGGAACATATTTTATGTTATACGCAGAATAATTACAACGTATGTCTACATTCAACATCAATGGAAGAAGGCTTCGTAAGGCTTTTTACAAGTAACAAAAGTCGTTTTTCACGCAAACAAATCCTAAAATATAAACACATAATCTCTTTCTTCAAACCAATGAAATCTGTTAATTCTGTAAGTAAAAAAAACTGCAGCGGGAGGGAAGCATCGCAGAAGTTCGCACAGGGTGGCAAATACACGTACACGCAAGAGAACAAAATAGTCGAACTCACAAGATCGAAAATTAAAAAAAAGAATTAAGCCTGGTGTAATTAAATTAATAATAATACGTACGATAGCTCTGTCAGAGTTATACGTAGCAGAAAAGTAAAATAATGCAACTACATCTGACTACCACAATAAGAACCCAAAATGTCCCATCTCGTATCTCGACTTTGAAATCAATTCGTTACTTTCTTTCTTTCAGTTGAGAATTATCCACCGAGACATCAAGCCTGCCAACATACTCTTGTCCAGTGATGGTCACGTGGTGATAACGGATTTCGGAGTATCCAAAGACCTCTTGTCTAAAGGGGTAAATTTAATATCTACCTTATCTGTTGGTCAGTTTTACCTTCGGGAACACAGGAAGGCCCAAATTTTTATTCTAGGGACATCAAATACAGAGACTAAGAATAATGGAAGTGTTTCAGGTGCATGAAATTGGACCACACACTCAGCCCGTTTGTTTTGTACCAATATTTAAGGAAAGGTTAATCAAAAGGCGTTCGTAATTCTTTGGGTTTGAGGGGGCACACTCAGAAGTGCAAAATTTTAATACCTGCAGCTCTACTACAGTTTCATAAATTGGTGCTATTATTCAGTTCATAAACCAAACACCCTGTATAATATAACTAAGTACAGTATATCAGATTCTAAATATATAAACCTCTCTCTTACACCGAGGAAGAAATATCCGTTACAAGTATTTTAAGACAAATAAATGCAGGAATGTAAGAACAAAAAAGGGTTTAGTTTAGATAATTATCTAAACTAAACAAAAATGTGTGGTTCATTCCGATGAGGAATACAAATTAGGGACCTTGCTCGCAATGGACTAAATGTGCACCTAGAAAAAGAAATGCGACTGAATATTGGTAGTGACACCTCTTCGAAAGAGTCGACTAGGGAAATCGTGAAGATGTAGATACAGCATTAAGAGGGCAGAGCATGAATGTAATTGGTTCAGGACAGTCCAATGGCAGTCAACTCTTAGTTCTACTTCCTGTTACGGCATTAGGTTAGGTTAGGTTAGGTTAGGTAAGGTTAGGTTAGGTTAGCTTAGGTTAGCTTAGGTTAGGTTAGGTTAGCTTAGGTTAGCTTAGGTTAGGTTAGGTTAGCTTAGGTTAGCTTAGGTTAGGTTAGGTTAGCTTAGGTTAGCTTAGGTTAGGTTAGGTTAGCTTAGGTTAGCTTAGGTTAGGTTAGGTTAGCTTAGGTTAGCTTAGGTTAGGTTAGGTTAGCTTAGGTTAGCTTAGGTTAGGTTAGGTTAGCTTAGGTTAGCTTAGGTTAGGTTAGGTTAGCTTAGGTTAGCTTAGGTTAGGTTAGGTTAGCTTAGGTTAGCTTAGGTTAGGTTAGGTTAGCTTAGGTTAGGTTGGATTAGGTTAGGTTAGGTTGCTTTGCATCTCAGATTCTTGTCACAGTTACTTAATATTTTCTTTCCGTCAACAGAAAAATGAACTCAACTACACTCTCTGCGGTACCGCGTTTTATGTGGCTCCAGAGATAATCAACAAGAAAGGTCACGGCATGGTGAGTGTCTAATTACACCTTGACAATGTAAGAATAACGATGTCATTAGATTTGTGCAGTCAGTTGCCTGCCTGCCTGCCATCTAGCGTGACGACGCAAAAACACGTCAGAAAAATGGAATTAAAAATACGATCACTAGAGACTCAATGAAATTCGCAATATGTGGTCTTTAGACGGTGTACCTTACTTGCCACCTAACGGCAAAGTAGCTTCACGTGCCAATTTCTGCAGTAGAAGGAAACTTTTTATAGCAGTCTACCAAATTACTGGCTTCAAGGTCACGGAAAGATTTTCTTACAACGCGGCTCTAAATTAAAAGTACAGCGATGCCAGTTTTGCTACACTGCAAGTTCTGAGCAGCCTTCACTTTCCTGGGTTTCCCTCTTCTTACTGCAACGTTTAAGATTTTTATGTGACCTTCAAACAATTTGGGGGCGGCTACGATAATCCCGGATACATATTAACCTTTAAAAATGAATTGTACACCTGAAATATGTACAATTTCACCGGAATGTTACTCACGAACTAAAGGCACAGAAATGAAAACTGAACGCATCTGAGTGGGAGTAAGGTCAGGCGAACGAGGTGGCCAAGAGACAGGTTCGCCCCCACCAACAAATTTATTTAGAATGTTGCAATTTAACAAGTCTGTCACTTCCTTTTGGAAACATTGAGGCGTTTACTAAACACAACTCGGCCGTACCTCCTACGGTGGTTATTATATCTTCAAGTATTAAAAGAATAACATAATTGACAGTGGAACCTCGGTTCCGGAGAATCTGACGCGTGAAGTGCGATGCGCCTTTATTTGTATAAATAAATGTTTGTAGAACCTAAACCATTTGAGATACGTAAAATCTGAAAACAGATTTGGAAAGCTCGAGAGGTAATACGTATTTCGTACGCAATATGTCCCGATCCATCTCTTAACGCGCCAGATGCATTGAAAATTGTACACATTGGTTCATTAAAATTACAATGAATGTATAAACAATTATAATTACAATAAAATACATTACAGATTCTTAAAGGTCCTTATTTACTGATCATTTTACATATAGGTTACATTACCCTTACTCTTACCATTCCTGTGGAAACAATAAATATATACACTTATTTCAAACGTGAATTGTCTTGTTGACTCCTGTAAAATATGCAACAAATTGAATAAATTAAAATGACCGAGTGCAGCTGCTACCCTTAATTTTTATTGTTGCAGGAGGTGGATTGGTGGAGTTTCGGTGTAACTGCGTATGAAATGCTAGCCGGGTTAAGGCCCTTCACAATTTCCGATGTTGAAGACGAGAGAGAACTCATACGGTAAGTCCTTTAGCGTTTGGGAAGAGTTTCGACGTCTGTGTTCCCTCTGAACATAGTATTTCTCTGAAAAACCTGACCTATACAAATTAATGAGCGTCGGACACATAAATGTCGCTTTTAATGTCAGTAATGTACGTGCACATATTTAAAACCTGCGTAAAATTCAAGACGAACCATGACCAAAAACCATTAAGAAGGCAATTTGGCAAGGACATCAGTTGGGAGCCAGCGACGGGGAAGAAAATGGGTTCTAGAAGCTGAAACACATTTAACACGGCCTGCCTTATCTGTATCTGAAGCACTGACCAGATAGTTCATATAGAAAGGCATTAAAACCTTTGACTGCGAATACTTGCTTAAAGGAATGTTTTGATTGGAGATGACAAGAATGTACCTTTCTGTTCCAGGAAAATTTTGAAGGATGATCCCGTGTTCCCAGAAAGTTTCTCCACAAATGCGGTAGACCTAATCAGAAAACTTCTGAAGAAAAAACCGTCAAAGCGGTTAGGAGAACGGAAGGGCGGCGTGGAGGACATCAAGAGACATCCTTTCTTCAAAGTAAGTTCCCCTGGCCCCGGTCTGTTACATAATAGCGAGCGACCTACATGGCGTGTAGTGGGACGGCTTTCTTTACTCTACTTTTGATAAGAGGTTCAGGAAAATAATGCATAATACACTGTCAGGTCAGAATTTGAGAAGGACCCGCAGTGCACGTCTTAAAATCTCTAACGACTGACTTCAGACCTTGAACGTCGTATAAGAGTCCTCAAAAACGCCTCCAAATAAATGCAGTTTTTATTAAGTGATTTATAACCCGAGCAGAAGACCGAATTTCAGAATCCACGTACACTTTCGCAAAAGCGAAGGGTCTTTTGAGGTTAAGTGCTCCCACAGTTCACTACGCGATCAGCACTTACGTTCGTGCTTCGTCCTACAGGGCATCAAATGGAAAGATATAGGAAAGAAGGCGACGGAGATGCCGTTCCATCCACGTCCTGTCGCCGGCGATTCCAACTTAATTCAAAAAGCATTCGACATCGAGACACTCGTTCATTCAAAATACGAGGTCAGTAAAATAACGAAATCTGTCCCACGTTTTACTATGTACAGGCATACCTCGGAGATATTGCGGGTTCGGTTGCAGACCACCGCAATAAAACGAGTCACAATTTTTTTTTTTTGGTTTCCCAGTGCATATAAAAGTTATGTTTACTCTATTCCGCAGTCTATTAAGTGTGCAATAAAACAACGCGAGAATTACCAAAATGTTGTTAGAAAATGGCGCCGACAGACGCAGAGTTGCCACAAACCTTCAAATTGAAAAAAAAAACAAAAACAAAAACAAAAAAAAACAATAATATCTGCGAAGCGCAATAAAACGAGGTATGCCTGTACTGAAAAGAAACAGGGTTTATATCTGGTGCTTGTTTCGCCCGAAGGAGATTGTCGCAAGCTGAGGTCCATGTTGCCACGAAGGTGTTACGGTAAGTAAGTACGATGCCATTGTCCTCAGCTAGTACTCTGGTACGGTGCACAAAGCGAGGTTAAACATTAACACTGCCATATCCACGAGCTTTATCGCCATAGACAGCAGTTACTGCCAAAAATAATGGTCGTCATGGCGAATTGCAGATAATTATAACGAGAAAGACGGATTTTAACTCCCTGGGAACTTTCAGCCCAGGACTTTCTTAAAGTAAATTGAACCGGAGTAATGGAATTCGTTATTTGTTATGACACTCCGAAAAATGTTCTCTACAAACCGAAAAATATTACCGAATGTGTAGAAAAACTTCTTCAGAAGCCGTCAGTACGTTCATCTAGTAAAAAAAAAAAAAAATTGGCTCTATGTAACTTATCTTAACAAAAGATGTTAGCATCTCGCCTGCCTCAGGGCCGAGATCACTATTCGACTTAAAAACAAGGAATATTTAACATTCAGAATCAAACAAAAGGACAGATGAATATTTGTCTTACTCACCGCTGTGAAAACCTCAAATCTTACAAAACGACAGATGTTTAATCTTTATGGGCTTAGGGTAAATTATACAATAATAACGATATACTCCTGTCCCCATGTTTGAATAAAACACTCATGGTCTTATAAACACAATGATAAATAAGTTTCGGTGGAAATGAATGATCAGACTTGTGACTTTTCTAATTTATATTTCAGGTATGCACATATAAGCCCTGTACTGAACTGAATGGAAAATGAAATGCACTGCTGATGTTAGTTTATTGGGCGAAGACATAAATATTATAGGCGGAAACACAAGGTCTATTAATCTGGCAGAAAATGCAGAGAGATCTGAGAAGCAATATTTCGTACCTCGTCGCCACACAAGACGACAAAATCACCATATAAAAATAGTTAACAAGCCCTTTGAAAATATTTAAAATTTAAAATATTTGTGAATGATTAAAACAATTTCATTTACATGAAGGCAATTCTTGCTACCATGCAGTTTAGAACCTTCTGTTTCCAAGTCTGCTATGAGAACAGGTAAAAATTATATTAACTTGTAATATCACGTTAAGGGAAGAACAAATATTGAGGTGCAGTTGGATAACTTCAGCGTTTGTAGCTTCGTGTTGTCTGGCGGAAGTTTACTAACGTTTCAGAGTTGATTACTGTCTCCATCGTGCAGGTGATGAACTCAGATTATGGAGGCAGCAAGAGCCTCTAAAACGTGGGTAAACTTCTGCCTGATGACACGGAGCTACAATGCAGAAGACAAACATCTAAACTGTTCAAATGACAACAGTTTGTTTGCCTGCAACAAACTCTGTTGTTTACATTTCTCTCAGGGAGATCCTGGTCACCCCCGAGCCTGCAAAAATTTGTGAAATTTGTATTAAAATTCATCTTGAAAAATATGATCTGTATGCGTGCAACATAAAGTTCAATACATAAACTGTGAAACGTATATACGTATGTGTAAAATATAAATACCTTCATATGTAAATATTTTTCTATATATTGTGTATAAAAGAAAAGAATATTTGTAATAAATTGACAAATTTATACAAAATGTAGTTCACAACTAGACTAGTGTATCTTCATTTTTAACACATTCCTACAAAATACAGTAAAACCTCTCTAAGTTGGACACTTGTGGTTCCACGAAAATGTGTCCAACTTACAGAGGTGGCCAAGATAGAGGGAAAGATAAATATCGATTGTGGTCTAATGACAATATGGTCTATTTACTTACATACACTAACTGCTGTAGGCTTACTTAAATTAAGAATTAATGACAATAGTATTAATAATAATCTTTTGAAGCCCACTCCCATGCATTGCACATTACACCCCAGCCTCAATATCATTTTCTAAAGTTAATTCCACTAATTTTCGCCTCCCCATCGCAAAAACAAACATTCCATTTCTGTTAGCACAGTCTGAACTCAAATGCAAGTCCAGTACTGATGGAGTTAAAACTGTGTCTTCTGCGATACTGTATTCCAGTTAAGGGTTCAGCAAAAGAATGGTTAAACACTTGCAATGCATTCCAGTGATGGGTTCAATGTTATAAGATAATCCTCCAGAGAGGAGGCATTAATCAGTCAGAAATTCAAAATAACAAAATATGTAACTGAAAAACTTTCCCTGAAAAGCATCGAAGTTAAGTGCATGAACCTGTCCAACTTACAACAAAAGAGGTGTTCAAGTTCCAGGATAAAGGGGTGTCCAAGATATAGGGTATTGTGGACATGAAAAATTATAGGATATTCACCGGTTCCAATTAAAAGTGTCCAATATAAAGGGGTGTCCAGGATATAGGGGTGTCCAACTAGAGGGGTTTTACTGTATATTAATAGGTGTCTAGTTCGATTCTAGAAGATAAGTGGTTCTGAGTGGTGTTTCATTGATTTCTCAGATCATACCGTTAAATGCTGAGAATCAAACCCAGTACTTTCACTACCAACAGCATTCTCTAAATTATTTGTCAAAGTCATGCATAAAATATTCATCGCCCTGATGACGGAGGCAGTATGACCTCTGAAACGTTGGTTAACATCGACCAGACTTCACAGCGCAATAACCCAGAAGACAGAAATCTTCATACCCTGATGATGGAGGCAGTATGACCTCTGAAACGTTGGTAAACATCGACCAGACTACACTGCGCAACAACCCAGAAGACAGAAATCTTCATACTCTGATGACGGAGGCAGTATGACCTCTGAAACTTTGGTTAACATCGACCAGACTACACAGCGCAACAACCCAGAAGACAGAAATCTTCATACTCTGATGACGGAGGCAGTATGACCTCTGAAACTTTGGTTAACATCGACCAGACTACACAGCGCAACAACCCAGAAGACAGAAATCTTCATACTCTGATGATGGAGGCAGTATGACCTCTGAAACGTTGGTAAACATCGACTAGACTACACAGCGCAACAGATTAAATTCAGGGAATGCTCACCATCATCAGACCAAAATGTCTTGTCCTCCCATCTCATATAAAAAAACTAACATTTAATATATACAAAAGTGTTATTTCGTCAGTTCTGCTGTATGGGTGCAAAACTTTATCTCTCACTTTGAGGGAGGAACACAGAGTGAGGATCTTTGAGAACACATACACTCATATTGAGCTAAGCATCCTAACAAGCGAGGCATTCATCGCTGCTCTTAGAACATAAAGAATATTCCTGCTCAGTCTATTTGCTTCAGGCTCTCCATTCAAAATTTTGAACACATTTCTTATATCCTCCATGCATTCTGCATTCCCTGCCAAATTAATAACATTTACTGACATTTGATTATACCCTAATATCACTCACCACCAACAGACAAGTTAAACAGTTCACCATATCAGTGTTACCAACAAAGCAGTATCTTCAAAAGAGATCAAATCAAACAATTCTGTTCATGTGTGGCCCTTCTGAGCTCACTCTCAGTACACATGACATGAACTATTTTACTTTTGCACGAAGTTGAGCTAATTTGTAAATTATGGACCGACTCTTTCTGTAAAAATTCAGATTGTACAGAAACAAACATAAAATTTCTGCAATTCACTTTAAGTTTTATCCAATGAGGGCTTTACAGTAGGAACCGGACTTCTAAGTCTTAACGGGTGCATGCAGTTACATGAACAGCTCACCTAAGCACACTGGCGCTGCCTCAGCTCGATCAGCCATTTAGGTTCAGTATTTCAGAAACAGGCATTTCTTAACAGCTGACTGTATGAACGTGGAACCAGGACTTCAAATCTGCACCACCATACCAGAGAAATTCCCAGTAAAATCGAATTTTCAAGTCCCAGTTTCAACCTTGCTCCCGGCGACTATTTAATCACAATTCAAATCATACTACGTACCAGCCAGTTCATCTTCTGCACTGTTTGACAATTCTGTACGATAACTTTGACTTCACAAACAAACCATTAAACAGAAGCCAGCAAAAGAGAAATTTAAGGTATAATCACTGAATGTCAACGGTTATTCACGCCTCCTATACGTCTGAACCAATAAAATTTGGCCTGTAAATTTCAAAATTGAATTCTACATTATTTTGTTAAGTAACTCATAATTGATGACACATATTTAGACCCTAAGATAACCTTCACCATTCTACCAGATTCAATGTTTCAAATACAAATTGTAGATCTTAAATACTACATATCTCCTATACAACTTTTTGTGTGATCAGCAATTATTTTGAAAAAAAAAACTATAAGGTTTGATTCAAGCATAATTTAAAGCATGAGTTACACCGTACTGAAACAGAAAAAAACAAAATTTCACCAACTACTTTAGTAGTTTTGCAGATAAAACCATTTCAAGCAAAAGTAGACAACACCTTCCCTTTAGGCAGTCATTTCATGAATTTTGTACAAATAACACATAAAAAGATATGAAATTTACACAAAGCATACAGAGTGGCATCAGTGGTATAACAGGTGTCATGGTAAGGGATCCCCAACATAACTGAATGTCTGACTAGGAATTCACCCACCAGTCACTTAGTCAAAAAGAAATGTACATAAGCCACTGTCAAATTGCAACCAAATCAAAACATATAGACAAATTCTAGAACCCACAGGATCAAATTTAATGGAAAACCATAGTGGGTCTCGAGATGAACATGTGCAATTTTACAACCTTCGCAAATGCACCTAAAACTCTGTGGAAATTACTCTCGCCTAAGCTGAATATACGTATTCTCCTTGTCGTCACCATCAGTATGCCCTGGATGTCTGAAGGTAAATGTGGTATTCAATAACAAATACTAGAATGTGCAAACATGTTTTAAGTAAACTCCCCAATATCAAATTTCATGATAGCTATTCTGTGGTTCTCAGATTGTTACATGTGGACAGACAAATATTCAAAGTTAACAGGCACATTTCCACAATGGTTAGTCATAATTGAACGAAAAACTGAAATGTATACAACTGCTTTAAATGCAGGGGAAAATATATCTTTATCATAACAAGGTGTATGGAAGTACCATTCACCTGAAAGAACACACAACTTTGTTATGACAGATAATCCTTTCACTAACTAACTAACTAACTAGATGGCTTACCGAACCCGAAGGTTCATCACCGAACTAACCAAAGCCCTCCACCGGACCCTGTCCTGGGCCAACAAACTCCAGTCTCCTTCAACTCCTATCTCCCATAGATCCCGCCTGAGATTATCCTCCCATCTACGTCTAGGTCTCCCCAGAGGTCTCTTCCCTTCAGGTTTCCCAACCAGTACCCGGTGCACACCTCTTGTCCCATCCATGCGCGCTACATGTCCAGCCCATCTCATTCTTCTCGACTTAATCACCCTGACAATACTGGGGGAGGAGTACAGATTTTTAAGCTCGTCATTGTGCAGTTTTCTCCACGCCCCATCGTCTTCCCTCTTAGGCCCAAATATCCTCCTCAACACCCAATTCTCAAACACCTGCAATCTGTGTTCCTCCCTCTGAGTGAGAGACCATGTTTCGCACCCATACAAAACAACAGGCAAGATTATTGTTTTGTATACTTTCATTTTCAAATCCTTTCACACATCAATAAATTGCAGTAGTACCACCCAATCCTCCAGTTCTCTCATCACGTCCAACTCACCTGTATACATCATGTCCAAACCCTCTTCAGTCAGGGAAATCCGCATCTTCAATGCTAGCGTTCTTGGAGGAAATGTAACTAACACACAACAGTGTGACAAACTATTCAACAAACATTAGGAGGATCTTTGCAAAGGGGCAAGATTTTGTGTCCATTTGTATATTCTTACACAGAACGAATAAATATATTAATTTTCCCATTTAACACAGCCCAACACTGATATAACAAGCAAATTACTGAGTAAAAATTCTAATATATACAAAGGTGTCAATGTTGAAAACCGGACCCAGTATTCACTTTTGTACACTGCACATTATAGACAGAATAATCACTACTGGGACTACAACTCGTCAGA